CGGGTTCTCGCACTGTGTTGCCTGGGGGGAACTCGCACCCGGGGCCGATCTGATTATCCTTCCTTTCCTAGAAAAAAGAAAGCCCCCAAAAGCCAGTGCTGGAAAATGGCACTAATCAGATGCCACGGGGCTTTTGCTAGAGTCAGAGGGAGAGAGAGAGAGAGGGAGAGAGAGAGAGAGAGAGATGACTCATGCTACAGGAATCAATGGCCGCCCTCCCCACACAGTTTCTCCCTCTTGGCAAATTGACTTTTCCAACCTCCGCTCCCCAACACGCTCATGCACATGTAGAACCTTATCTGCCCGCCTTGTGTCATGTACATTCTCTCTGCAACAGCTACCCTGTTCTTGTTGCCTTCAAAAAAACACAAGGCCTTTAATGAAGTGTTCGGTATCGGACACCGGATCGAGTTACACTCCTTTCATCCACCCGCAATGGCCCCTTACGATTGGTTACAAGCACCCGTGACCTGGTCTGGGTCGGAAGCGCTCTCCCGGTGTAACCCACAAAAATGCATTAGTCACTGCAGCTGATCCAATCCAAGGACAGTGACGGAAAACGAGGCCAAGGGCAGTGAGGGCAAAAGAAGGCCGGGGCAGTGAGGGAATGGTCAAGAACGGCTTGTAAACAGCCACAAGTGTTGTTTGTGACGAGTGCCAGAAGTCGACACAAAACCGGACGCAAACCCAAACACTAAACAAGGGACGTGGTTTCGGCTCGAGGGTTTACTCTGAAAACAGCGCTGACTTGGAGTTACCCTTTTGAGGCAGCGAAGATAAGGAAAAGAAACGTGATTGTTATCCCGAAGCGGTAGAATTGCACAAGAGTTAGAGCCTACTGAAGACCGTATCCCGTGCAGCCATGGAGGTTACCAAGAGAATCCTGAAAGTTTGTTTGAAATTTTACTTGGGCATTCCAGAATGGTTTTCAGAAGAAACAGAGGTCCCGTTCACACGCGGCGATTTGGGCCAGTTGCGGGCCAGTTTGGGGGCGGATCAAAGCAGCGCGATCACACCACCACATCTGGGAAGCGTTCTGCTTCCGCACCCGAACTGGCCCAAACCCGGGAAGAACCGCCGCAAAATGAACCACCTACCTCGGTGGTTCAAGTGGACGCGGCGCTTCTTCCCGGGCGTCTGATCGCCGGCGCTCCCTTGCGCCGGCTCAACCCCGGCCCGGAGCCGAACTGCGCATGCTCCGACATGCGCAGTATTGCACAAGAGTTAGAGCCTACTGAAGACCGTATCCCGTGCAGCCATGGAGGTTACCAAGAAAATCCTGAAAGTTTGAAATTTTACTTGGGCATTCCAGAATGGTTTTCAGAAGAAACATAGAAGAAGAAGAGGAGGAGGAGGAGGATTTAACACCCTGCCCTTCACTCAGAGTCTCAGAGCAGCTTACAATCTCCTTTCCCTTCCTCTCCCCACAACAGACACTGTGTGAGGTAGGTGGGGCTGAGAGAGCTCTTTCAAGAACAGCTCTGAGAGAACTTGTGACTGACCCAAGGTCACACCAGCAGCTGCATGTGGAGGAGTAGGGAATCAAACTGGCTCTCAGGGACCTCAAGAGTCATCTGGTCCAACCCCCTGCACAGTACAGGAAATTCACAACTATCTTCCCCCCCACTCTCCTAGTGACCCCTGCTGTATGCCTAGAGAAAGGCAAAAAAACAAAAACAAAAAACCAACCCTCCAGGATTCCCGGGCTAATCTGTCCTGGAGGAAAATTCCTTCCTGACACTGAAGTGGCGATCGGCATTTCCCTGGGCGTGTAAGAAAATGCCGCAAGAGTTGAAGCTGGACATCTATAGAAAACCTGCACACACACAAGTCTGTTTAGAAAAATATTGGGGATGTATCCATCAAGGGGGAAACTCATGTCAGGGGGCAGGGAAGAGGGGGCAGGGCAAGCTGATTGGTTGGCAGCACACCCATCTCCAGGCATAGCTCCCAAAATGCCAGGGAAAGCTTGAGGGGTAGAGCATGAGGTTTACTAACCTGATTACCTGCTCTGTGCTGGAGAAGACTCTTGAGAGTCCCCGGGACTGCGAGGAGATCGATGCAGTCCATCCTAAAGGAAATCAACCCTGACTGTTCCCTAGAAGGCCAGATCCTGAAGCAGGAGCTCAAATACTTTGGCCACCAAATGAGAAGGGAGCCCTCACCGGAGAAGACCCTGATGCTGGGAAAGGTTGAAGGTAAAAGAAGAAGAGGACGGCAAAGGATGAGATGGTTAGATAGTGTTATCGATGCAACGAACATGAAGTTGAGCAAACTCTGGAGGACAACGGAAGACAGGAGGGCCGGGCGTGATGTGGTCCACGGGGCCGCGAAGAGTCGGACTCAACTGTGTGACTGAACAAAAACCCCAAACCTGCTCTTCACTTGGAGTCTCAGAGCGGCTTACAATCTCT